AAAAATGGGAAAAAAAAAAAAAATTTGAAAGCACTTTTAAAAATAATGTACTGGGGGGCTAGCAGATGGGGCAGTACCTGGGGCACTGGACTCCCACATGGCTGAATGCAGTTCAAGTCCTGAACCCAGCAGCTGACTTTCTCACTCCCTCTGGTCAAATTTAAAAAATAAAAATAATACTGATAAATAATTCTTTAAGAAAAATGTACTAGGGGGCCCAGCAGGCAGCATGGTGGTTAAAACACTGGACTCCCATGTGATTGACTGTGGTTCAAGTTCTGGACCTGGTGCATGTGTGCACAGCCAGAATCCCTAGAAGAAAGTGGAGGAGAAGGGATTGCAATGTGGCCGTCCCACCTAGGGATTGATTTCTCACTTTCTGTTTCTCTGTCTCTGTCTCTCCAGTGAGTACACGTGCCCTATAGCAAACATCTCTGAAAAAAAAAAAAAGAAAAAAAGAAAAGAAAGGACAAGGAATAAGATGCCAGCCACAATACAGGAACTGCTGGCTGTAGAAGTCTATTAAGTCGTGTGAGAGACTCTATTACCGACTGTAAAATGCCATAGGAATGAACGGTAGGTTATTATTGCGAATGATTTGCTCAGCATGAATGCTTGCCCTCACACTTCAGCATTATATGAGAATAAACTAGGTGACCATAAAGGAGTAGCATGAGAATTTTTTAGGGATAAGGGACAAGTCTGTATCCTAGGTACAGGTTACCTGTACCTAGACATTTGGCACAACTTTATAGAACTACACATCTTTAAAAAATGAGTGGATATGGGTAGGTCGGCAGGTGGTATGGTGGTTAAAGATGCTGGACTCCCACATGGCTGACCATGATTCAAGTCCCGGACCTGGTGGCTTGCTTTCTCACTTTCTCTGTCTCTGCTGATCAAATTAAAAATAACAATAATAATAAATGAAAAATAATTCTTTCAAAAATAAAAATGAGTGGATACAAACACTAGTGAAATTCACGGGTGTTAATAACTTTGTACTCAATTTCCTGGTTTGGATCGTTTTGCTATGGTTACATGAGATATTATCATTAGAGGAAGCTGGGAAAATGGGTACAATGGGAACTCCCTGTATGATTTTTGAACTTCTGTAAGTCTAAAAGTATTTTAAAATAAAAGTTTTAAGACTCAAAATGCTGAACAATGATGTTAAAAGTCAAGGCAGCGGGGCCAGCAGGTGGTGTGGTGGTTGTGAGGGGAGACTCCCACCAGGGCCCTGTGGTTCAAGTCTCAGACCTGGTGGCTTGCTTTCCCACTTTCCCTTTCTCTCTCTCTTTGTCTCTCTCTGGTCACGTTAAAACAGACAAACAAAAATAACAATAATAAATTAAGTTAAATAAATTTTTTAAAAAGTCAAGGTAGTATTTATCTTTGGAGAGGAGAAGGGGATAAGGCCTGGGAGAGAGCCTGGGGTGTTAATAAAGTTCTCTTTTTGACCTGGACTAGAGTCATAAGGGGTGGTTCACTTTTCATGATCCAAACCGTATACTTTTCTACATGCTTATTATATACTTCGGTGCATACATTTTTTTTTTAACATGTTCTCTAAAACACATGCAACAATTATGGTTCCATAGCCTAGTGGTTAAGGGAGAGAAGTACCACATGGCTGACCAGCTCGATTCTGGGCCCCAATAGCTCAAAAACACCCTGGTCGTGTGTGTGTGTGTGTGTGTGTGTGTGTGTGTGTGTGTGTGTGTCCCAAATTCCAACAGAATGGAGAAATAGAAGAGAAGGGCTTGCGGCATGACCATGCTCCATTGGGGGTGCAATCTTCTCTTTCTTTCTGTCTTTCTGCCAAGTGCAAAAACCTCTTAGATTTAACAAGAAATTCATTTGAACTGTTATTATTATTACTATTATTTTTAGAAAACAGTATTACTATATCATACTTCCTAATAGTCATAAACATTTTTAAATTCGGATACAACTGTGGGATTCACTCTGTAGCTGTCACTCCCTAGACGCTCATCCCGAATGATCTATCAAAATCTGTAAGTGCCAAAACTAAAGATGAAGGGACCAGCAGTTGGCGTAATGGCTATGTTGCTGGACTCCCAAGTAGTTGACCGCGGTTTCAGTCTCGGACGCAGTGGCTTAAACTCACGCTGGGCGTGTGTGAGTGCATGCCCAAGATCCTGAGAGGAGAAAGGAGGAGAAGGGATTGTGGCATGGCCATCCCCCCTGGGGGGTGATTTCTCACTTTCTATCTCTCTGTCTCTGTCTGGCGAGCGCACGTGCCCTATAGCATAAACCTCTCCAAAAAAAGGAAAAAAATAAAGGTGAATATGTTAGAAACAAATAAAATACAGGGCCAGCACGTGGCGTGATGGTTGGGATGATAGACTCCCACAGGGCCAACCATGGTTCAAGTCCCGGACCTGGGAGCTTGCTTTCTCATTTTCTCTCTCTCACTCTCTCTCTCTCTGGTGAATGCATGTGCCCTGTAGCAAACTTTAAAATAATAATAATGATAAATAAAATTCAACGATTCTTTGAAAAACAAAAAAACTTACCAAGACTGTAGAGGACTTTTTCGCTGACCTTCGGACATTAACGTACGAATGTCAAGTTTACAGTGTCCTCCGATGTCACCACTCTGGAGAAAATCTTCCTTAAATCTAGAGTGTCATAAAAAAATTGAATTGACTTTGAATAACTTTTTCATGATTCAAGCACATGGTGTATAACTAAGGTAGATTACAGAATTGGCTTGAATATCCTCTCCCAAATTCATATTGAAATGTGATTGCCACTATAACAGTATTAGAGGGTTTGGTTCACAAGGGTTGCCCTCCTGATTGGATAAACGTGTTCTCTGGGAGTGGATTCGTTATCTCTGGAGTTGTCTTCCTTTCCCAGTCTGTCTCTAAGCCCTCCTGCCCTTCTGTCCTCTGCCCTGTGATGACACAGCACAGAGGCCCTCGTTAGACACTGGCACTATATTCTTGGACTTCCTGGCCTCCTGAACTGTGAGCCAAAATGACTTCTGATCTTCATAAAGTACCTAGTCTTGCATGTTCTGCTTTAGCAACAGAAAACAGACTGATATAATAAACAATTTGCAAAACCAATTTCTCACTAGCAATTACCGATATTTCAAATGTAGACAAAAGTAGCAGAATCACATAGGGAAGCTGAGAGGCCCGTGAACTAGCTCTGCAATGTGATCAGCTCACAGCCAGCCTGGGCCATCCGTCTCCTCCCATTCACCAACCCCTCCTCCAGCCTATGGGGTTTTCACAGAAGTCATGACCTATTTTTTCTATGCAAAAATGCATCATGACTTCTCTGACAACCCAATATAATGAAGCAAATCTAAGGCACAGATATCTCTGATCTGAAAATATTTCCAAATTTCTATTCAATTTTAACATAACCACTTAAGTACCTGTCATGATTTCTCTTGATGTTTCTTAAATCAAGGTAGAGATTGGTTGCTCTGCAATACTGAAGATAACGGGAACATACCAGACTTGAGTCACTCTGCAATAAGGTTGAAAAAAATTTTAAAACACCTCCAAGCATTTAATATTGCAAGGACTCGCCCAGGCCTGTCAGACGTGTTGACAGCATGTATACCCTCAGGTGCAAACCATATAATGTCATGAAGAATGCTTTCTGAAGCCTGCATCTCTTTGAGGATATTTTCCCCCTTTCCAGCTCTCCTTGGTCAATCAAACTTTTGCCAGTTTCCACACTTATGGGTTATTATGGAGAATTTCAAAATGATCTGTTTAGAGCACCTCAAATTTTAAAGCCATGAGCTGTAAAGGAGACTTGAAAACATTTGTGGAAAAATGGAATTGAAACATGATATTATGGGACCGGCATATGGCGTAATGGTTATATCACTGGACTCCCACACAGTTGACTGCAGCTCACATCCTGATCCCAGCATCTTAAAACTCATGCCAGGCGTGCATGCCCAGAACCCTAAGAGACTGGAGGAGAAGGTATTGTGGTGTGACCATATTCCCAACCTGCCCAAGATGATTCCTTGCTTTCTCTCCAGCAAGCACATGCACCCTATAGCAAAAATCTCTCAAAAAAAAAAAAAAAAAAAAAAAAAAAAAGCATGATTTTATTTTGGTACCAAAAAAAATTGAAATCCATGCATAGTTTTGCACCACGCATTTTCCATGAACATTTTGGAGGCCCTTCATACCTGTTTTATCTTGGTTGTTTGGGCTTAGTTCAGTCTCCTTAAAAACAAAAATAAAACTTCAAACATTACTGTCCCCACAGCTATGTGAAAAAGAATTTTCAAAGACCAGTTAAATGAAACTCAAAAGAATGCACATGTAAGAGACATTAAGATGCACGGTAAGAAAAGCAGTTTGCCCATTTTAATAAGAGGCACTTTTTATACACTGGAAAAACTTGTGGGAGACTGTTTCAACCACATCAAGAGGTAGAGATTTTTCTAAAAAAATAAATGACTAAAGGAGTTGAAGAGTCAACTCTCAGAGCCAGTTTCTATTTCAAGCAATCTTGGTTGTACTCAAAGAGGGAGGGCTTAAAAAATGTGTATCTGCTCTGGATTTTATTTATAGAACCAAATGTTATTTTAGTTTTTTCCTAAAACTTCCAGTGAACACAAGACCTGCATAACATTTTAGAATCTAAAGTGGATTAAAAAAAAAAAATCACAAAGGACTGAACATGTCCCTGCAAAACCCATACGCTGAAACCCGAATCTCTAACGTGATGGTTTTAGCAGGCTGGACATTTGGGAAGAAATGGTGGGGCACTCATAAATGGGATCAGTGCCCTTACCACGAGCCCCAGAGAGCTCTCTTGTCTGAATTCCGCTATGTGAGGACACCAGGTTACAGCACCGTGTGCAACCTGGAAGGGGGCCCTCCCCACAACCAGCCATGCTGCCATGCTGGTCTCGGTCTTCCAGCCTCCAGAACTGTGAAATGATTTTCTATTATTTATAAACTGCCCCGTGTATGGTATTCTGTTATAGCAGCCCAAACAACCAAGATCAAGATTAGACCCTGACAGCACAAAGTATATTAAGGTCAGTCTTGGCCAGAAAGCATCGCACAAGCCACTCTGAAAGAGGTATGCACAATGGGGTGTGGTTCCTCCTTTGCCCTTTCCACAGGAGCAGCTGGCCTCCCGCCAACATGGAAACCAAGTGTTTATTAAAAACAGCCTGTGGTAGCGCAGGTTGGTGGCCTGTCTCCCATCTTCACACTTTGCTCACCTTGCTAGAACTGCTAAAAACTCTGTTAGAGACATTTTCCAAGGGCTCTATAGGCATATATTCAGTGTCTGAATACAAGTGTATTAAAGGTTTTTTGGGGGTTTGTTTTTGTAATTTTTTGTTTGGTTTTTATTTGTTTGCTTTAGTTTCCTGGATTATCTGGAGAAAACAGAGACCCCTGATATATCAGAGACTGAGGGCTCACGTCACTGATTAGAGAATAGTGTACCTCAACCCTAAGATCTTAAATTCCACTGACATTAAACTTTACACAGAGCCTTTTGCACTTAAATTCTGGATATGTAATTCTACAGGGTAGCTGTGTGGTCTGGGAGAAGTTGCTTATCTTCTCTGAGGACCCACTTTCCAATCTGGTAAAGGGAGTGGCTTGAGTAGTACCTCTTTTGTGTAGCTGCTACCATGCATGTGATTTCTCACTTTTTCTCTCTGTCTCTTTGGCGAGAGCACACTCCCTATTGCAAAAATTTCTCTTTAAAACAAAAAACAATGAAAAAAAAAAAAAAGAAAGAAAAGAAAAGGAGGACAAGATTCCAAAGGAAGCAGAACAACCTGTTTTAGGAGGTTAAAAAAAAAAATTCTAAAAAATGGATAAGTAAAACAAGGAATTCCTGCCATCCTGCCATTTACCTTGTTTACCCCTTAAGATCTAAACACTAAAATAAATAATTAAAATATACAATAAGTATATAAATAAATAAGCTCCCCGATTAAAGAGCTAAACACACCCACCGTCTTGTTAGGCTCACAGAGCACGTGCATCTCCTCCAGTCGCTCTCTGGCATATCCAAAATCAGCTTGTTTCCAGAAGAGGTCTCTAGCTGATTCAATAGTGTCTGTCCTATTTGCAAAAAAAAAAGGTTCTATGTGTCTTTTTTCTTTTCAATTTTTCTGGACCTTAAATTTTCTTCCTTTCTTGTCATCTTCTTTTTTTTTTAAACTTTTCCAGCAATGATAGTATACTTTCTAAAAATTAAACATTTAGAGAGAAAAATTCAGGCCAGCTCATGGCATGGTGGTTAAGGAGGCTGAATACTCTTGACTGATGATGCCCAGAGGTATTCAGGTATTTTTTAACTTTTCCAGCTCGGCAGTGAGAGACAGAGAAAAAGTGAGAAAGTAACCTACCCAGTTAACATCATCATCCTTCCTCTTCTATTTCTCTCTCCTTTAAGGATTGTTTGAGCATGCGCGCACACGTGCCTGGTGTGTTTCTCAAATCACGAGATCAGAGTGGAACCGTACAGTCAGCCAAGAGGTATTCAGTCTCCTTAACTACCATGCCATGGGCTGGCCTGAATTTTCTCTCTAAGTGTTCAATTGTTAGAAGTCTATTATTACTTTAATTTTTAGAAAGTATACTATCATTGTTATTCTAAAATTATCGCTCACTACATAAAGTGACCAAAATAAGTTATTCACAGATTTATTTCCTTATAGTAAAAATACACAATAGAAGTGTACAAAGTCGGGATTATCTGGAACTGAAAACAATAAACCGTTAATTACTGTATTTTCTTTTCTTTTCTTTTTTAAATTTTGCTATAGGGTGCCTACACTTGCTGAAGAGAGGGGTGGGGAGAGAAAGCACCCTCCAGGGTGGATGGCCAGGCCATAACCCATTCTCCTTTCAGGATTCTGGGCATGCAGAGAAGTATCCAGCATGTTTTTAAAGCCACTGGGTCTGGACTCTTACTGCATAGTCAGCCATGTGGGATCCAGTTACTTAATCACTGCCGCAGACTGCCCCAAATACTGTCTTTTCTTTATCCCATTAACCTTGCATCTATTGGAAGTACTAGTTACACTTTACTCTCCCCTGCAGAATCAAAAGGAAACCATTTATTTATCTTAGTGGCATATGCTGGGAAGAAATGTTTCCTATGGTCCCTACTGCTTTCCCCCTCTAGCAGAGGAAAGGACAGATACTCTCAACGCAGTGTGAATAACTGGGATGAACTGGGGTGTTTTTCAAAGATTTATTTATTGATTTTTATTTGTTATTATTATTATTTTTTAATTTGACCAGAGAGAGAGAGAGAGAAGGTAAGAAAGCAAGCCACCAAGTACAGGACTTGAACTACAGTTGGTCATGCGGGGAGACCAGCACCTCAATCACCACACCACGTGCCAGCCCCTGGGATGAATTCTTAACTAGAAAAGCAAATTAATATCCAAAGGAATTCTATCTAAAACCAAAAATACTAGCAGGCAAGTCAGGCACCAAGATCCACCGCTGAGAGGGCCAGCAGGTGGCGTGGTGGTTCAGGTGCGAGACTCCCACATGGCCTACCATGGTTTGAGTCTTGGACCTGGCAGGTTGCTTTCTCGCTTTCTCTCTCTCTCTAGAGGTCTCTGTCTCTCTCTGGTAAGCACATGTGCCCTAAAGCAAATTAAATAATAATAAATAAATAAATAAAATAAAATAAATAATTCTTTAGGGGACGATATTCTACATGGAAACTCACCATCCCATGTCCACGTAGCTGCAAACAGGGTAACCAAATCTGAACTCTGGCTTGCAGGATTTCTCATAACCCCAGCAGTACCCGAGCTTTTCTAAGTGTTTCTGCAACATAAAACGTGAACATTTAGACTGATCTCCCTTTTTCTGACATTCAGGAAGGACACTTTGATTTTTTTTTTTCCACTAAGAAAATACAGACCTCTCACGTTCATATTTTACAATCTGCATTTGTATAATAAAAATATCTAAATTCTAAGAAAAGCAGTCCTAAGGTTCTTAATTATTCTTACTCACCACCTGCATCGTGCCTGTCCTTTAACCAAAAGTCCAGGCTTTTAGGCAGACTATCAAAGACCACTTGAATTATTAACAGAATTTCTTGCAGTAGCTTAAGAGAGAGCCTTTCTTAGTGAGCAAACTGACCCTAAAATCAGTCCCCACAAGGCGGTCTGGAACTCCTGGTATCAAAAGGATCACACTAAAACTGAATGAATCAGCAACTTTGCTCATCATTCAAGATCAGCAGAGACCCTACAACTCCACACCCCTGGGGCAGCACAGCAGGACTGCCAGCCAGGGAGCTTAGAAGGCCCTTCTGCAAGTCCCAGGCACAGGGCTGGTCTGATTCCCAGGTCTGCTTTTTCATATGCTTCCTGTGCCAGCACCATGGGAAAGGAAGTGTCTCACAATGGCTGGCTTTGATCTCTAAGGCCCTGTGAGACATCTTAATGGGTTCCTATTTGAGGCCTTTCCAACCCCTTTAAAACAGAAGGCCAGCCCCAGTAACCATCTTAATTACGTGGAGACAGAAGCTGAGGAGTTATTGCTGAAATTAAGTGCCAGAAGGCTCTCTTAAGTACAGTCTAAGAAAGAAGAGGTGTGAACTTCTTTACTTTTAAGGAGATCATTCTTTTCTGCACAAACCCTAATTTGCTTTATTTACAGAGTAGACAAGTACAATAGTATTTGCTACCTATTTATTGTAGTAAGGATTTAGATATAAATTCCACTCCTGTGAAGGGGACGTATTTTTAAGCAAAGTAGTATCAGAAGTATTAGATGAAATTGAAACGATTGACTCAGCAGTGACAACCGGAAGTTAGACATCTACCTTCAGGTTATAAAGCAGAAGTACTAAGTCAACCTAAATTGCTCCCTTTAAAAAATAAGTGAGAAGAGAAGAAATCGCACCAACCTTATATGGACAGTGTGAGTCCTTCTGGCAGACAGTGGCAATATGCCTGTTGTTGTGCAAAAAGAAGGGGATGTGCTCCTCTGGCAGGCGGATACTGGCATAGTCGTACAGAGGCTTCCCAGGAGCTTCCTCTGGGCTGCTCACCGGGACCTCACGAAGTAGCACTCCAAAGACAAGCAGTATTAACATAGCCACCTCCAACCTACACATCACATCGAAAGCATCCTCAGTGAGGAATCTCCTTTCAAAGTCAAAGACACAGACAGCAGCCAAGGGCCAAGCATAATTACAACACAAAGTCATTACTTTTTTTTTTTTTTTTGTCAACAAACATTTCTAAGCACCTGTTGTTTGCCAGGCTTTGTGTTAGGGGCTAGACTTACAGCACAGGAGTGAGCAAAACAAGAAACATCCTTGCTCTCATGGAGTTTATAACCTAGCACTAGAAACATTGATAATCAAATGAGTAAACAACTTCAGATGATGACAAAGGCTGTCAATTTCTTTTTTAAAAAATTCAAAACAAGGGACCAGCAGCTGGCGTGGTGGTTAAGGCGCTGGACACTCCCACATGGCTGACCGGGGTCCAAGTCCTGAATCTGGTGGCTTGCTTTCTCACTTCCTCTCTCTCTCTCACTCTCACTCTCTGTCTCTCTCTGGTCAGATTAAAAAATAAATGAATGAATAAAAAAAAATTTCAAAACAAAACAAAAGTGGAGCCTGCAAATTTCTGTGAATGAGAAGTCGTAAATATTTTGGATTTGCCACCTGAGCTTCATGACACTATTCAACAATATCTTTCATGAGAAAGCAGGTACAAGTCTCTTGTAAGGGAATGGGTGTGGCTGTCTCCCAATAAAACTTTATTTACAAAATGATATGCCTGGTTTACTGATGCTTAAAATAAAGGAGGATAATATGACAGACAATGTGTCATGGTGGTTAAGAATATGGGCTTTGATGTTTAACTACCAGGGTCTGAATCCTGTCTACAACTTCTCAGCTGGATGGCTTTGAACACGTCCCTTAACTTTGCTGTGCCACTGTCCCGTCTGCGAAGTGAAAGTGATATTAGACTTTCCTCATGGGGCTGTTAGGAGTTAAATGAGTTAATTATTGGTAAGGTGTTTAGAAATGTACCTACCACACATTAAGTGCCGTGTAGGTGATTATTTATAAATGTTTGAAGCCACGTGGGACAGAGCAGAGCACTGAATAACATTTGAGCTGAGATGTGAATGAGGAGAAGGAGGGAAGATATGCCAATGCGAGAGAAAAGGAAGCATACTGGTTCTAAGAAGTGTGTGTTTGCTGAATAAAAAGTAATAATCATAGGACCATCAGTTGGCGTAATGGCTATGTCACTGGACTCCCATGCAGTCGCCCACGGTTTGAGTCCCAGACCTGGTGGCTTAAACTCACGCCAGGCGTGAGTGCGTGTGTGCCCAAGATCCCAAGAAGAGAATGGAGGAGAAGGGATTGTGGCATAGCCACCACCACCTCCCCACCCCCGGGGAGTGATTTCTCACTTTCTGTCTCTCTGTCTCTGTCTTTCTGGCAAGCACATGCACCCTAAAGCAAAAACCTCCCCCACCCCTGAAAATAATTAATAATCACAACCAATATGTGGGTACCTGTGTTCCAGATACTCTTTTAAGTATCAAAGCGAAATGGCTTTGGAGGTGCAGATGTGAACTACATTCATTGCCCTTATGAAGTACACGCTACACTAGGTACAAGCATCATCTATGCAAACAACTAAGACTTGGGAACTCCAGGAGCAAAACCTGCCTCAAAGACTATGCCCTTAAACTCTCCATCCTGCCTTAGCATTTAGAAAGGCGATAAGGGTCATGCATCTTACTACATTTTTATCTTACCCAATAAGAGTTAAATCTCTTGGATCAGATTTCTCCTGTCTATTCCAGACCATAATTATGTTGTTCTCAAGTCACGTTAGGGGGTACCTTTGCTCTCTTTTTTGCTTGTTTTTGTTTTGAGTTTTGTTATAGGGCATGCACTTGCTAGAGAGAGAGGGAAAAGAGCAAAGTTACAGTTCTCTACAGTAATCCTGCTCACTGGATCTCAGGGCTCCCCGAACTGGAGTGGCTAGCCTTCTGGTCCTACCCTGTCAGAGGGGACAGCCACACCACAATCCCTTCTCTTCCATTCTCCTCCAGGAATTTCGGGCATGCATACCCATGAACTTGGCTTGTTTTTCAAGCCGCTGGGTCCAGGACTCAAACTGTGAAGTCAGTCATGTGGAATCCAGCCACCTTAACCATCATGCCAACTGCTGCTTTTCTCTCTCTCTTTTTTTTTTTTTTTTTTTTTTTTTTTTTTTTTTTTTTTTTAAAAAAAAAGCTCTTGGGAACCAGCAGTTAGCATAATGGCTATGTTGCTGGACTCCCACATAGTCGATCGCGGTTCACGTCCCAGACCCAGTGGCTTAAAACTCATGCCGGGTGCGTGTGCGTGCGTGCCCAAGATCCCGAGAGGAGAATGGAGGAGAAGGGATTGTGGCATGACCATCCCCTCTGGGGAGTGATTTCTCACTTTCTGTCTCTATGTCTCTGTCTGTCTGGTGAGCGCACACGCCCTATAGTGAAAACCTCTCCAAAAAAATAAAAAAATAAAAAAAATAAAGCTCTTCCCATTTGATAACCAAGTCATAATACACACTGACCACACCTCAGCAAGGTCCGATGTTTACTAGGGCACAGTGGACAGCTCAGCTCCAAAGTCAGCCCTCAAGATGGGCTAGGAAGATGAAGCCTTTGGAAACAGCTATGCTCAATCAAACTCAAGTCCAAAGCCATAGGAGCCTAAGAAAATGGTGAGGTAGGAGAGATGACAAAAAGAAACCCTTTCCTTTCTAGGGTACTAAATATAGTGATTTTTTTTTTCCATTTAGGTAGCTCTGAAGAAGATGTTATCTGTTGTAAATATAATTTGAATTATATATTTTTTGGGGAGAGGTTTTTTCGCTATAGGGCACATGCACTCGCCAGACAGAGAGAGAGACATAGACACAGAAAGCGAGAAATCACCCCCCAGGGAGGATGGTCACGCAGCAATCCCTTCTCCTCCATTCTCCTCTCAGGATCTTGGGCATGCACGCACACGCGCCCGGCTTGAGTTTTAAGCCATCGGGTTCGGCATGCAAACCACAGTCAACTACGTGGGAGTCCAGCGATATAGCCATTATGCTAACTGCTGGTTCCCTGAATTAATATTTTTCATTGGGACTTTTATTCAACACTGATTTGACAGCAATTTTATAAAATTTTAAGATACATATTAATAGTAACAATGACTATGTATAATAAAAATAGGTACCTCTTTAATCTTTAGACTGCCCTAGAAGCTGTTGTGATGTTTCAGGTATCTAAAACCTGTAAGAAATAAAACATTATCACAAAAGGTTGCTGAAGTAGCCTTTATCAGTCAGGGAATGTTTTGAATTAAATGAGAGGGAAAAAATAATTGGGGCCAGCAGGTTGCATAGTGGCTAAGGTGCTGCACTACCACATGGCTGACTGCAGTTCAATTCCTGAACCTGGTGGCTTAAAAATCACACTGGGCATGTGTGCATGCATATCCAAAATCCCAAGAGGAGAATGGAGGAGAAGAGATTGCAGCATGGCCATGCCCCCTGGGAGGAAGGGGGTTGTTTTGGCACTTTCTCACTGTCTGTCTCTGGCAAGTACATGCTCCCTCTATGACAAAAACCTTAACTTAATAAAAGAGAGAGAGCGGGACCAGCAGGTGGCATGGTGGTTAAAGCGCTAGACACTCCCACATGGCTGACCAGGGTTCAAGTCCTGAATCTGGTGGCTTGCTTTCTCACTTCCTCTCTTGCTTATTCTCACTCTTTGTCTCTCTCTGATCAAATTAAGAAATAAATAAATGAATAAATAAAATAAATAATTTTTAAAAAATAAAAAAAGAAAAGAGAGCAAGAGAAAATATATTTTTTCTTTTTGGAGAGGTTTTTCCTATAGGGCGCATGCACTCGCCAGAAAGACAGAGAGAGACAGAGAGACAGAAAGTGAGAAATCACCCCCCCCCCCAGGGGGGATGGCCACGCCGCAATCCCTTCTCCTCCATTCTCCTCTCGCGATCTTGGGGATGCGCGCACATGCGTCCAGCGTGAGCCCAAGACGCTGGGTCCGGGACTCAAACCGCGATCGACTGCGTGCGAGTCCAGCGACATAACCATTATGCTAACTGCTGGTCCCATAAGGAAATAACTCCTAACCAGAAAGCCTGGCTCTCAGTACTCTTTCTTTTCCTTAATCATCTACTAAGAGCAATCTTACAGGCACCATGCTCAACACTTAATAACTTAATAGACCGTATTCTAATTGTGAACTGGAAGGAGGCAGTCCACTTTCTGCAGGTATCAACTGGTTACAGGCCAACAGGCTCTTCAGCAGTAAAACATTCCTAGGAGCAAACAAATTTCCGGTTTTCTGTAGTAATCCTGCTCACTGGATCTCAGGGCTCCCAGAGCAGAAGTGGCTGGCCTTCAGGCTGAAAGGCAGGCATCCCGTCTGGCTCACCCTTCCATAATAAAGTCATTATTAAAACCAAGCACTGACCTGTAACTACCCAAGTCTACTGCCCTCCACTGCGCTCTGGCCATAGCTAAACTCGCTGATCCACGGAGAAGAAGCAACGTTACATTCAGACATGGGAAAATAACCTCAAGAGCAGATTAGAATTGGCATTTGCAGAGGGCACGTACCCACTTGCACAAGCTGGGGAGGGGTGGCCTCTGGTGCATGAAAGCACCACCCCGGGCCTGGTGGAAAGCCTCTCTAGAGCAAGGCCCCGCAGGGTTGGACGGATCCACTTCTCCAACCGCTGAAGGTGAGGGGCCTTGCTTTTTTCTCCAGCACAAAGCAGTGGGCTCACTCCACTCCTGTATCCCTTGATTGGATTCCCACAGTCCTAAAGGCAGGGGAGAAATAAAGGGAAAAGTCTGAAAGAGAAGCCAGGTGAAACCTGGGGCTGACATGGACCACACTGCATGAGATGTAGCAACAATCAGCGCAGAAGACAGTGGACAAATGAAAAGTTAAACATCTGAGATTCACAATGACTTCTAAAGGGCTACCTCCGCCACCATGTGCCAAGTCTCACGGTGGGGACAGGGCTGGGCTCAGCATGGGCTTGGCTGTCTGAGACACCCAGACGGGGGCTCACTTTCCGCGCTAACGTCAGTCATTCCGCGCACCAGTGCGGCGGGGTCAGCGGTCAGCGCCCGGCCGCAGCTAAGATGCTGCGCTCCGGTTGGCGACCCCAGGCGCCACCTGGGACTGCTTTGTGGCGGAGGGTCCCCCGCCACCCTGCATTGCGGCACCCCGAGGTACCCGGAGCACCTGGGACGGACCTGGGAGAACAGCTCCGCCCAGCCCAGGGAAACGCGGTCACCCAGGCACAGGGCGCCAGCCGCGGCCGGCATTCCCCCTGAGTCTGGCGGGTTCCGGGAAGGGCCGGGCGCGGGGGTCAGGAGGGCCAGGCTGACTTCCCCATGCCCACTTCTCGGGCCCGCAGAGGGTGAGAAGGCGAGGGCGGCGTCCGTGGAGAGGCTACAACCCCGGGGAGGTCGCGGCGAGGCCAGGCACAGCAGCCCTGGCGCGCCGGGGTGAGAGCTGCTCAGGGCGCAGCCGCAGAGGGAAAGGAGCGGGGGG